TGAATAAATAACTTTGCTACCGTAGTCTCTAATTTATTTGAAATATATTTAAGGGTGATATACTCCAGACTTCATATTGAATTATTACCTTATTGCTTACGTACGAGCTTTTATCATAACAAATTCGCGAAAGATGTTGATCAGAATGCGGGTTGTTATTGTGTAAACTGCCGGTAAAAAATACGAATTAAAGATATTTTTGGATATATGTACATGATGTCAGCTAAGGAATAGGCGTCAAAAATCCGATCCATGCGACAAACATCAGCGTAACTTCTCTTGGTCATGCTCGTTTAAGGATCGTAATAGCTTGATTCAGCGCGGTGCCGCAGCTAACTTTTCTTAGAAACTCATTAATTTTGTTTTCTTTTCAGGCTACTAAATCTTCAGACGAGTACGAATCTTTTATCTAACTAAACAAACCAAGATAATTGGTCTGTTACATCGGCGAATACCTTGATACCTTTCAAAAGCAAAAGCGAAAAAAAAAAGACAAAAAGACAAAAAAACCACAAAGCCAACGCCAAGATTTCACTCGACATGGGTAACAGGAAGACAAAACTGAAGAAAGAAGAATTGTCCGAGTTGATGGAATGTACGCATTTTACGCAAGGAGAAATCGAGGAATGGTACAAAGGTTTCATGAAGAGTTGCCCTAATGGGCTGGTATCCTCCGCAGATTTTCAAGACATGTATTCAGATTTTTTTGAAGGGGATGCGTCCGAGTTTGCCAGTCACGTTTTCCGCACATTTGACTCCGACAAAAGTGGGTTCATTGATTTTAAAGAGTTCATGTACTCGCTTTCAATAACATCAAGAGGAAATCTTGAAGAGAAATTGGAGTGGGCCTTCAAGATCTACGATGTGGATGGTGATGGGTACGTAACGAAGCGCGAAATGGAAGACATCATCAGATCCGTGTATAAAATGTACGCAGACAGTCGACTGGGAAGAAAGGAAACGCCAGAACAACGTACGGCGAGGATCTTTGAAAAGTTTGACTTGAACAAGGATGGAAAGCTTACCATAGAAGAGTTCAAGACCGGAGCGAGAAGCGATCCTTTTCTAGTTTTGATGATGCAGTACAAATCATTACACGGTCGGAAGGAGTCAGATCCGTCTATGTCTCTGGAACAAACGTATTCGTGATGATCGGCCGACGACTGGCGTTTTTTTTTTTTTTTATTTATTTATTTTATTTATTCAATGAGATGGAAAGGTTGACTAACATGCTGGTTGATTTGCATCAATTTTGCTTGCCTCGCATAATCAATTATTATGACTTATTGGATATTTATGACAACTCTTTAAGAAATAAAAGACGCTCTTTAGGTAGGGTATCATAAAGCCCGTACTTTTGAAAGAAACAGAAGTGTCTGCAGACTGAAGCTTGAGCATGATTCCAATGAAAGCTTGGTTCGAATTAGACGAAGAAAGTCCCCACGTTGAATCTTGCCGAAGCTGATAACTGAGAGGTATCACTCCGAGTTTTCAGCGATAATTTATTAAAAAACAAGTACACAAATAAATAAACGGAAGTGCTTCTGCTTTTTTAACAAATTGTATTAATTTCTGCCAGGCGAACCTAGGAGAGTGCACCACTCAGACTTTTTAAATGATGTGGCAGAGTAAGGTGTGTGATAGGTGTTTTTTCATAGGAAGTCATCAACATCATATTTATATTTTGTTGAACTCATCACTAAGCGCGATACTTTACTGCCTATTGGAGCTTCAAAGGCGTGAAGTGAAGGTTTTTTTCGCTCCTAATTGGTTCGTCTTGTCGAGATCCAAAAAATGATTGCATGTGCCAAAGGGCAAGCTATATGTCACGACGAAAAACAACACTAAATTCATAATAAATGGTTATGACTGAATACTTACTGTAAAACATCGTGTTATAACTGTTACTTGGATAACTTTAATCGGTTACGGGAACGATTCCCATGGAAGAGAAATTTCTTTGCCTTTTAGGACGACTCTCATACGTTTAAAAGTAGGCAGGGCTCATAACTGGCTTCGTTTGGGGACCGAGAAAATGCAAGAGTATTTTTGTGAGATTTGTTTTTTTCCCGTGCCATTTATCCGCAGTTATGTGCAAAGGGTATCGTGAAAGAATGAGCCAAGAAGTTTTCATCAGTAAAAAAGCAGGGAAAGCCTTCTTTGAAAGGATAATGGACTGATGTGTACTCATAGAGTTTTAGTACTTCGTACTTCTAAGATGAAAAATTTCTCCTGAGGATCAATTTAACGATAGAGAGCAAATGCTGTGTCTTCTCTACTTAATGTCCGTGAGTGTCACACCTTGCTTCAAAATGACGAGACCGGAAATGAAAATCAGATATCACGCACAAATTGACGCCAGAAAATAAGTGCGCGCGGTCGAATAAATACGTCACAAAGGCAGCATCCCTGTTACTTCGCAACATTTCAAAACAAGCTTCAACAAAGGTCGCTGCAGTTTACGAGGTTAGGATAGTCTATTTTCAGTGTCGAAGAAAACATGCCGTGCCTAAGGGAAGAAGATAAGGTTGACCCACTCGAAGCACAGCTGGAAGCGCAAATGGAATTGTTCCATCTGCAACAACAGTATCGTTGTTTGCGCAACGATAGAAGAATGTACACTGATGAGACTGAAAATACTTTGCGCAAGCAGAAAATAACTATTGAAGCACTAGTCAAAGAAAAAAAAGAATTGGAAGCAATGATGCACGTAGCAAGCAGTAGACAGAATGAGAAATTTGATCAACGAAATGTCGAAAAGCTTGTCGAGCTCTTAGAACGAGAAGCGCAAGCTCAGGAGGAACTCAAGAAGGAGAAAGAAGCAATTGCGGGTGTGGATGAAAAAGTAGCTGCCATGAGAGAAAAGATCAACCAACAGAGCAAGAAGATGGGAGGAAGTAAAGATGTGTACCAAGAGAAACATGTCGCCAATATGAAGCTTACTCGAATATTGGAGAACAGGTTGGATGAGATGACCAAGAAATTTAGCATTGCTTTGACCGGCAATTTGAAGCTCAGAGAACATATCAACCACGTCGAAGGACAGAAAGCAAGATTCCTTGATCTGCACAAGCGTCTTCAGGCTGAACTGATCGAAGGAAAAAAGGAAATAGATCGTATTTCAGAAGTGGCGACGACTCATTTCACCATAAGAGACGAAGCACAACACAGGATGGCTTCACTACGCGAGCGCGCTGACCGGGAAATGGCGGTTTATAACGCGGAAATCAAAGACGTCAAGCGTATTCTTGAGCACGATCGGAAACTTCGGAAGTTCATGACTACAAAAGCCGAAGACCGTGCGTCCATTCTAGAGGACGAATTGATGGTTCGTGCAATAAAGAAATATGAAGCTCAGCTAAATGGGTTGCAACAAGAAACCAGCAAGTTTGAGGAGATCTTTGACAAGATCAAGGAAGCTACTGGTATAGAAGACACAGACACTCTTGTGGAGTCTTTTATTGAGAACGAAGATCGCAACTTTGCGCTGTACAATTACGTAAACAACATGAACACTGAAATTGAGAACCTGAAAGATGATATAAGACGCTTGAAGGACGAAATCGAGCTCATCAAGAAAGAGGGTGTCGACAGTGATGTGCACAGGAAGGAAATTTTAAACGAACTTGAGCAGAAGATGGTCGAAGTCACTGATGAGTTGACACTGGTGAATAAGGAGTATAAAGCAAGCAGAAGACAGCTCGAGCTCTTGAAGCCGAAGGTCGAAAGCGTTTTCAACTCAATAGAGTGCGATCGCTCCTCAATCGCGGAGTTGCTTGGAATTGGTGTGTCAATAGATGATAATAACATCATGCAATACCTTGGAATTATCGAGCAGAAATGCAACGAACTCTTGCAAAACAAAGCTCTAGAGAAGATCAAGAAGTTGAACGAGTCTGGCGGAGACATATCCGTTGACGGTTTACAAAGAGTGGGTCCTCAGCCAGCACATGGGAATTTTTTAATTGTACCTCCCCCGATTGAAGATGACAGTGATCAGGCATGGCATTGTAACGATGCAAAACCGCTGACAGTAGAAGAAGTGCAAGCTCTAATACAGCAAGGAAATGTGAAGGGTGGCCTCTCAAAGGTCACAGGGTCCACAAAGCAACCCGCAAAAAAGAAGCGCGCTTAGATCGGAGAAGCTGTACTTTATCGAATCTATCTCTTTTACTGTAAACAAGAAAAGCTTGGAATTAAAGTAATGCTTTTTTACGTAGAAAAGTGGTCATGGATTCACAATCGATTATCAGTGTAAGCAAAGACTAAGCTCAGATCATTGGGTGATATACAAAGAGGGGAAGAGGGGTGAATCGGTTGGGGGAAGGTTTGCTCTAGCTGTGATTTTTAATGTCGAGGAGCTCATATCGGGTTATTGATACTATTCATGGAGAAGATGTACTTGAGAAGATTTCGATATCCCGAACAAAGCATAGCCAACACGAAATATATCTGTGGATTAAGATGGCTGGCGAGAAGGGTAAGAAAAATGAGGCTGTTTTAGCTACAAATACATCGGAACTTCTTCAGGTGCCGTGTGGAGGAAGGGTCTTGGAAGGTTTAGGCGCATTTGTGGTATTTTTTCTCCCTCATGTGCCGTTTGAAGCGTCTTATTACGAATTCACTTCTTCTTCAAACAGCCCGCAATGGCGAAAAATACCACAAATGCGTCGATTAACAATTCATTTAATTAACCTCATTAAAATATTCGAATTCAGACCGAGATGCAATCTAGATGTGGTAGAAATGCAATTTTCAGTAATTTATTCAAAGCCCTCAAAGATTTAGTTCGTTTCATGTCAACAATTATTAACTACGAACAAATAGCGTGATCTGCCTATGAAATAACACACGTGTAATTTACCCTCTCCTCCCTTTAACAATTCTTCTTTCGATCTTGTTTTGAACTTCGAGGCTAGGAGAAAACTGAAGGAAGGGGAGAAACCGCCAGCAGTCGACCAGCGGTGTTCTCGAAGAAGTATGCGCAAATGTTAGGCCACGTAGAATTCCAAGATGGCGGAAGGGAGCGAACCTCAACCAAACAATCCGCTATCAAGGAAATTAAACAAGATCTTAGAAACTAGATTGGACAATGACAAGGTATGAGTACTTTTATACTAAGTTTTATTCTCTTCCCAGAAGAAAAATGTGGTAATGTAGCAAAATTTGTTTTAATCCTGCAGGAAATGGTGGAGGCTTTGAAGGCCTTGTCGACTTTTTTTGTGGACAACAGTTTGCGTTCTCGGCGGAATTTGCGTGGAGATATTGAAAAAAGAAGCTTGGCAATCAATGAGAGCTTCGAGGGTGCATTTAGAGATGTTAAACAGGTAGATTGTGATTTTTTCCAGTTAAAAAACAAAACTGATATGAAATTTGTCAGCAAACTCGACGAGTCCTGTATACAATAAAGCCCAAGGGCTCTGAAGTCGTAATTTAAGCAAATATTTTACACGATGTCAATTGCAAAGAAAGCTTGAATTATAACAGGTAAGAAATTATATAAAAGCCTCAAGGCGACAGCCATAGGCAGCTTTGTGGAAGGTTACACTCATTGCCAGGCTGTCATCAGATAATCTATGAATCAATTCAATCAGTTCCAAGAACATTAGCCGATACAATTTTAGAAACCAGCTCAATTTCATGGTGTCAAAAATGTGCACGAATTGTTACACGAACGCATATATTTCATCTGGTAGAAAATTTATACGTAGTTTTTTTCTATACAGTCATTTTACATCATGTGAAATTGTTATTTTATAAATGTGTTTATGAATTAAACTTTTTGTAAATTCCATGCAATTCAACCTTACAATGCTGAAATTTGATTATTTCAATAAAATATCTAGATCTATCTATCAATCTATTTACTCAGTATGTAAGCAGAACTTTTTTTGCCTCATAGCAACTGGATGCTGTGCATGCAGACATTGAACAAATGAGTAGGTGTTGCACAGAAATGACAAGCAGACTTAAGGTGGGTTGCACTTCAGACCTTGATCTCTAACTCCTATGGCCAAGATCTGAATAGAAATTCTCTCTTAGCCTTTCATCTGCCAGAAGTGATCAACTGGTTACTTCTCCCTATGATATACACATATTATCCAGCAAACAGCAAATGAGAATACTCAAACTTATCAGGTAGAAGTTGTTATCTTGATCCAACACCAAATTCTTGTAACCAATTTATAAGGAAATGTGTGTCAGCTAGAGGAGAGAATTAACTCTCAGATCTTGGGAGTGAAAGGGTTAAATTAAATTTTGCTCTCAGCAGAAATTTCATCCATCTTGGATTGAAAAGATTTTCTTGCACATTGCATAAAATGTTTTCAATTTACAAAGTAACAATCTTGAGCAAGTTTTGTGCCACAAGGTTGTAGATTGTCTAAGGAAGCACTTAAACATGCTCATTTTCTAAACCAGTGAACCATAAACTGATGATCAATACTCAAATTTTTTTTTTGAGCAGTGCTTTTGAATTTCAAATTATGGGTGGAGATGTAACGATATTCTTTAAATGTCTTATAGGCATTCGCCTGGTGAGTTTACAGTCGAAAAGCAACTTTAGAATATCTGTCAGGATTTTTATCTGCACATAGAGGTCAATCAGCAGAGCTAACTAAAGAGATGAGCCTTGTTCTCTGTTAATTAGTAAACATTTGCTGGAAATTCATAGGCACAGTTATTGTAAACATTTTAAACATGCATTTGTAAAATTGACAGAAATGAACTTGGATGTTTTGCTATGGTCAATCAAAGGTTTCAATATAAACTAGGCAAGAACCAGCAAAATTTGCTCTCTGTGAGAAGCAAAATCACAGCCTATTTTCTCTAAAATTTGCGACATTAGGGTAAAGATAGAATTTCCATCAGCCACTTGCTTTGCAGTTTGTACCTTCCACTTCAAAACATTTTGACAACCCTTCATTGATGTTATTATGATATACTGATAAGGCAAACTAATCAGAATGCAGGATTACCCTGAGAATATGAAAAGAGTTAAGTTATTGAAGGTTCAGTTGACAGGTTGGTACATTATTTGCACAAATTCATACAAAGTTTCTTTATATAGTCTGCAAGAGACCAAACCTCTGACTTGATAAGCAAGACTACCACACTTCAAGCTGAAAGGTAAGTGTTGAATAGTTAATGCCTTCTGGTGATCTGAGCCATTTTGAAAGGTAATTGTCACAGACAATAGTGATGCTCGAAATAATTATATAAATGAAGTCAATATGCATTACTGAGATTAACTAACAGTGCAGCACTTGTGACCATAAAAATTCACAATTTACATGTAGGTAATAAAATTTGGTTAGTAGTGTTGATTTTACGATTTGATTTGATATTAAAAATTTAAATGTTATTTTGCTCTCTTAATCTCTCAGTCAGAGAATACAGATGAAAGAAACAGTCGCAGATGCATTCATTTCAAGATTCCAATTAAAACCGGACGAGGTTCAAGCTCTGAAGGGAACACGGAATGGACCCATTTCTGAGGTCTGCAACATCGTCATTTTGTGTAGTTTGTGTAATCTATAGCAGGCCAAAGTATGCATACATCAGTGACACACTTGGCTGGACCTTGTGAGCCATTTTCTTGTTCTTACCACATTTTTACATCATCTATGATCTATTACAACTGAACAGATGCACAGCAATATAGAATCTACATGTTCAGTTTTGTATGTAATTGTACATGTACTGTAAGTGTTCAAATTTGTTTTTTGCAGACATTTTTTGAAGCCCTCTCACGGGTTAAAGAAATTCACAAAGACTGCAAACTTTTGCTGAGGACGAAACAACAAACAGCTGGGTAACTGTCTGTAATAACTGATCTTTTGTCAGTAACTTTTTGTAATATCAACAGAGTTGGGAAAACTTCTCACAAAATATGTTAAATAATCTTCCATGTTATCCAGTTTGCAGATCATGGAAGCCATGGCATTACATCTAGAGTCCAGCTACGAGAAGCTTTACAGGTGGAGTCAAGGTACATTGTGACAGTCCATGTAAAACCGGACGTCATATTGATGATGGTGATGATGATTATGAGAGTGAGAGTGATATAAAGAACGATTCTAGGCTTCAACTTGTGACCTCTACCTTTCCCTTTCCCTCTATGCTTGATCTCATAGGTGGATTTAACCCTTTGCACCCAATTTCAGTATGTATATTCTCCATACTGTACTCTATACTGTTCTTATATATTTCCCAAGATGCTGATGGGGAGAATTTGTTTAACAGTCAAGAGCTGCGCTGTAGTGATCATTTCTCTTATTTTTTTTGACCTCATTGTGTGATTCATGGATGATATTGTGAGGAGAAATTAGATCATCGTCACATGAGGGGTTTCATGGTTAAACATTTAGTCAATAGTATCGGAAGGTACTGTAGGTGCTGTAATTTAGTAACAGTGGAGGGCAGCAACCTCTTTAACTGCTAGAATGTCACCGTGGTAACTTAGCCACAGCCCTTCTCCCAGTACATGTACTTGTCAATATAAAACCAATATACTGTGGTGTGAAATAAATACAAAAAGGGAGAGACAGGGAAAG